GTTCCTTTTATAATACCCTTATTGTTCCCCCATTCACTGCCAGCCACTACAGCACATCTTTGTGTCTGTTCATAAGTGGAGAATGTGTGTTTTGTTCGCTCGTTCGTCCATTCTGTTATCCTTCAGACTTGATGCTTTATCCTTGTCCGCATATATTGGTCAACGGCAATAAGTCATTTTATAAAGTTGTGTATCTCTCTGTGTATGTGTTTCTTTGTGTGTGTGTAAAGTGAAAAAATAATGAATCTTGTTGGCTCCCGTTCAAGCTTTGCCTTTGATATTAAAAAAGTCAACATTTTTGCATTGGTTTACCAAACAAAAACAACATAATCATTGTAATCATGGACAATGGCTACCATAACCATGAACATTATTATATTGCTGGAACTAACTGTGTGTGATAGGACATACAAAGAAGCAGTCAGGGCAGTAAGGATAGAAAACTAAATAAAGTGAAAGAATGTCAATATGTTGTACAGTACTTGGATAGGAAAATTGGCAAGTGTTAAACAGCTGCCATTATTTAGCTTAATTTCAGTAGGGGTTTTTAGTCGAAGTTACTGGTTTATTTATCAGTTTTTGAAGAAATAGCGATATAAAGAATCAGGAATAACAATTCCCAATAATTATGGAAGATATGGCTAAAACTCTCTATTAACATTTCCGAAGCTATTAAATATGTTTCTTAGCTCTTTTGTCTCCTCTCGTGAATCGGCTTCACCTCTGGGATCTGTAAGTCGGAATACGATAGACCATCTCGATTCATTCACATTCAATAGAACTTTGGGAAATTTTTTTTTTTTTTAATTTTTTGATGCCTATCACTATTCCTATTTAGAAGAGCTCCCATACCAAGAAAATAAAATGTTTATATTGGGAATTTAAGTGAAGTAGATCACACAAACTATGAAACTTATTTGAATCATCATGGCTCTAAAGTGGTCACAATTTGGGAACAATATTCAATTCTGAATCGATTTTCAACAAATTTGACGGTGGCTTTTGTATCAAATAACATGTGGATCATATGACTTCTATGAGAGTTATATTAAAAAAAAAATTATTGGAGCAACAGATATACCGAACCATATGCAACCAAATGTAAAAACTCGGTTGAATATATAAAATCTATCCAATTTGGGCTGATAATGCATATATGCCGAACAAAAATCGTAATATCAGATGAAGATGGCGCAGCCATACAAAAATCCTTACCGGTTTCGATAAAATTTGGCAGAGGTATTTTCTAGCTCCATCTGATATCCGGTGTCAAATATTATTGTTGTGGAGTGCATATTACGCATGTGAGAGACTTAAACGCCAAATCGGATAAAACATTTATGTGGGAGGTATAGATATATATGAACCGATTTTCATCAAATTTAAAGTACTTCTTTCTTGGTTGAATTCAATCGGAATTGCCAAGATTCAGATCATTTGGGCTGATATTAGAAATTTGGTGCACAATAAACCTGAAATCGGATAAAGATATATGTAGAAGCTATAGCTAAATCTGAACAGATATTGACAAAATTTCAAACACTTATTTCTGAGCTGTATCTGATATGTGGTACCAAAGATGATTCTTGTGATTACGCATGTGAGGAACTTTAAACCCCAAATCAGATGAAACATATACAAAGTGAGATAAAAAAAAAAAACTGCAACAAAGTCAAACGCCATAATTGTTACATTTTTTTTTCATTGAAAAAAAAAATTCTGAAAAAAATTCTGAAATAGCAATAAATTTTAGAATAAGTTTAGATTTGTTCGAATTGGTAACCTTTGGCACGACATAAGGCCTTCAAACTGCCAATGAAACCGTCACAAGCTGCCCGAATTTCGCTCTGCGGTATTTTGGCCCATTCCCGGCAAAGCGCCTGCTTGATGTGATCGACACTTTGGTATTTTTTAGTGCCAACCTTACTTTCCAAAATACCCCAGACACAATAGTCCTACAGATTGGTGTACGGAGATTTTGGTGGCAAGCGAGGAACCTCCGTTTGTAACCATTCTTGGGTGGGGCGTGCTGAGTGCGATGGTGCTGAGTCCTTTTAGAATGTCCAAGGTCTGCGGCCAAAATGTTTGCGTGGCCAAGGCTTTAATACACCCTTCAGAATATTATCGCGATAATATTCGGCATTTATTCTGATGCCACGATCAACTAATACGAGTGGAGAGCGACCATCGGCTGTTTTGGCGGCCCACTCCATCACCATGGCCGGCGGTTGAGTTCTGGTGGCCAACCGAAGGTGCACATTTTCAGCTGACCCCTTTGGCAAGTAAACACGATCATTTTGTTTGTTAACAAACTGCTGGACAACGAATGTTTTCTCATCGGAGCGGAGAAAACCAAATTAGGCAGTTCACCACTTTCGGCCAAGCGAAGCAGTTCTTTAGCTCTTTTGAGTCTATTTTCTTTCAGTTGCGGTGTAACTTCTTGCACTTTTTGGAATTTCAATGGCTTTACCCCGAGCTCATTTTTCAATATTTGCCGAATGGAATACTGCGATATGTTCAGCTTACGAGCCATTTTTCGGCCACTGCCACTGCGACGCGGGTTTCGATCAAGTCGCTTCTTTACTTTTCGAACCATTTTTGCTGATGTTGCTGTTTTCTTCCGTCCACTTTCTTGACGTCCAGCTACGCTACCAGTATCACGGTAACGAGCGATGATACGAGACACAAAAGTTTTATTCACATTTAAATGCTGGAGTGCTCTAACGATAGCCACTTGTGGTTTTCCGGCCAAATATAAAGAAATCACGCTATCACGCTTGAATTTCATCACGAATTAATTTTTTCTGGAAAATTCTCACCAAACTGCTTCTGAACGCTTGTAAACTATATAATGAGCTGTCACTGGAAAAAAAATTTAACAGCTGTCGGAGGAGTGGCTTACAAATGACAGCAGTCTGAAGTTGGTTGGAGTTTTTTAACTCACCCCGTATATAATCTTCACAACAGATCTTGTGTTAGCACAAATGTTTGAATGTGTGAAATTTTTGTAGAGTTGGATGCTTACCTCGATATCTTTGAGCATTTTGCTTTTCAAATTTTTGGGAGGTACCAGAAGGAGTGATTCGATCTCTACCATCTTTATAACAGATCTTTTGTTGATGGAAATATACCAAGTCTAAATGGAATCGGATGTTAATTTCGCGTTATATGAGCTTCATGGTTATTTAAAATGTTGACCCTTTGTGGAGGAGGTACCAGAAGAAATGGTCCGATCTCTACATTCTTTATCTTTATTACAGATCTTGTGTTGTTAGAAATATTAAGATCTGATCAGACTTGATCAGAATCGGAGATTAATTTCGCGTTCTATGAGCTTTATGGATATCCAAAATATTGAACCTTTGTGGGGGGGGGGGGGGGGGGGGTTGAGCGAACAAAAGGAGTGGGCCGATATATTCCATATTCCCTGCAGATCTTGTGTTAGTAGAAATAATTTGATGTGTGAAATCTGAAGAGAATTGGATGCTTATTTCGGATTTTATAATCATTGTGGTTATTCAAAACTGTGACCCTTTGTGGGGAAGGCATCAGAACGAATGATCCTATCTCGACCACCTTTATAACAGATCTTGTGTTGATGGAAATTTTGAGATGTGTCAAGTCGGAATGGAATCGGATGCTAATTTCGCGTTTTATGAACTTCATGGGTATTCAAAATGTTGACCCCTTGTGGCTGAGGTACCAGAAGGAGTATGCCGATATATTCCATCTTCAAACCACGCCATGGGTTAGCAAAATGATTTTAATGTGTGTAATTTGAAGACAATCGGACTTTGAAATCACATTTATAAGAGTTATAATTATTCAAAATTTTGATCCTTTATGGGCGAGGCACTTGATGAAGTGGACCGACATTGCCCTACCACTGATGCAAATATTAGAATTTGCAATGTTGGAGCAAAATCGGATCATCCTTTCCTTTCAGTGCAGTAAAATATTTGTTTTTTTCTGTTTCGGCTTTTGAGAAGGGGGTAACAGAAGGTGTGGACCAATATTGCCCATCTTCAATATGACAATAATAAACGGATACTCTCTTCGAGAGTTATCATGCGCACTTGCCAGGCAGACAGACGGACGGACATCTCTAGATCGACTCCAAATGTCCTGAAACGGATTTGGTCCAAAGAGACTTGGTGTCTAAATACGATATTTTGATGAGACACGTTTTGGCCGTATCAAATGATATATACCCTCTCTAGTCATATGGCTTTTTTTAGGTAAGGATACAAGAAAGTCTTCGCGATATGGTGTTACTTATTCCACCAATTGACTTGAAATTTTAAATCCGCTCAAAAAAAAATAAATTTTAAAAAGAAATCCTTGACTTCTAAAAACAAGAAACACCCCAAAAATGAAGCAACAGCCTCCGCCAAAGTTCTTCCCAACAAAAAGTGTACCATTTTGTTGTAGCTGCAAGCGCGCCAAACAAACTAATTCATTTTCAATTAAAATCGCATCAGTTTGAGAAAAAGGGATTTTTTCCTGTCGCTTCGATGTTGTGCTTCGACTGGGTCGTTTTTTTTTTTTGTGTTTTTCTAGATTGAACTCTCAGTGTGCATCACATTTACAAGGCAGTGGTTTTTGGAGTTTTCAATGGTTTTTTGTGCGATTCCAGCCAACAACAGATGTGGTCGGAGTAGAAAATAAAAAACTGAACCCAAAAAACAAAAACAGGATAGAAAAACTAAAATAAATCAATACTGGGTAGAAAAGTTCGACAAAAAGGTTAACCATGGACCACTTTGGTGGATATCTTTTGGATTAAATTCAACCAAAAAAAAAGGAAAAAAGAACAAAGTTTGTTCCGGACAAACAAATTCATTAAAGTTACGGGGTGGAGTGTGAAGAAAAGTAAATTAATTTATTATTAAAGATAAACTCAAAATACCACACAATTTATTTATTAATCACTGTTTTGTTGTTGCTAAATTTTACTTATCTTTCTTTTTTTTTTGTGTTTTGCCTGTCTATCTTTACAGTTCATCCTTTGGTACAAGTTCCCAATCAATTGGTGGGTGCTCCCGTCTTGACAGATGTCACTTTAATTTGTAATGTGGAAGCATCACCCAAAGCCATCAATTATTGGCAAAGAGAAAATGGTGAGTATTGCTGGAGTATGTCACATAGTTGTGCTGAAGTTCTCTTCGTTTTTAATTCCTTTCAACAGCATCGCATTGGTGGCATTTCGAGGGGAAATTCAACAATTTTTCAATTTTCCACTTTGTTGCCAACATCGTGTTGGGAAAACAATATTTCATTTCAAATGTAATTTGTCTTTATTAACTTCGTGCTTTAGTGGTCTAAAGCAATTTTTGTCTGTCATTCGCTGTTGCGAAGTGAGGGAGTGGAGGGTTTTTTTTAAAAACTAGAAATACTTGAGTGACATGAAGTGAAGAATTGAAATTGACTTGAATTGTCTTATCATTTGTTTTAATGTCTTGTTAATTGTCCATAAAGTGATTGTTTATGTCAGCTATTAAAGGATGTTGAGATAAGGTCGACATAAATTTTGTGTAAATATCACACTTTTAATGCTTTATACAATATTCTTGAACTGCTTATTTTAGTACTAATAGCAAATATAAATGTCAGTCCAAGCAGATTTTTACCATGAACCAATACACGCCACGCGAGCGCTCTGAAATAGTTGAAATTTACATTCAACAGTAGAAGTCAATTGTGAAAACTCAACGTGCTTCCAAAACATTAAAAAATGTGAGAAGTGCGCCTTCTAAGAACACCAATAAGCGTTTATACGAAAAATGTTCGACTGGTAAGGCTCTTTCTAATCCGAAGAGGCCATATAAAAGTCGACCAAGGCGATGGGCCAAGAATATCTCTGAGGTCCCCAAGAATATTCCAAAAACGCCGTTCCCAGCAGTTGGGCATGGCCACTTTACAACGGATTATTCGCATTGATTTGCATTTGTTCCCGTACAAAATTGAATTGACGCAAAGAATGTTGCATGCGGACAAGCCTCGTCGATTGGAATGAGCCCAAAGAGTCATCGAAAAAAACATGGGTCCGTCGAATATGGGCAACCCTGTGCAAAGGCATTAGCTGAGCGGGGCCGACCATGTGACAACCTACCAACCAATTTTGGTCGATTTTTTGAAAAAATTCCATTTTGTACTTTAAAAAATTTCCCTTTAGTTTTTGACAGGATGAGATGAAAAAACTGCAACAAACTTCAGACTGCTGCTGTCATTTCTAAGCCACTTACCCGACAGCTTTTAAAATTATTCCAGTGACAGCTCATTATATTGTTTACACAAGTACAAAAGCATTTTGGTGAGAAATTTCCAGAAAAAAAGGTATTCGTCATGGAATTCAAGCGTGAAAGTGTGATTTTATTTGATTTGGCTGGAAAACCACAAGTGACTATCGTTAGAGCACTCCAGCATTTAAATGTGAATAAATCTTTTGTGTCTCGTACCATCGCTCGTTACCGTGATACTGGTAGCGTAACCTGGTGTCAAGGAAGTGAACGGAAGAAAACAGCAACATCAGCAGAAATGGTTCGAAAAGTAAAGAAGCGACTTGACCTAAACCCGCGACGCAGTGGCCGAAAAATGGCTTGTGAGCTGAATATATCGCAATATTCCATTCGGCAAATATTAAAAAATGAACTCAGGGTAAAACCATTGAAATTCCAAAAAGTGCAAGAACTTACACCGCAACTGAAAGAAAATAGACTCAAAAGAGCTAAAGTGGTGAACTGCCGAGTTAGGTTTTCTCCGATGGGAAAACATTCGTTGTCCAGCAGTTTGTAAACAAACAAAATGATCGTGTTTTCTTGCCAAAGAGGTCAGCTGATAATGTGCACCTTCGGTTGGCCACCTGAACTCAAGCGCCTGCCGTGGTGATTGTGTGGGCCGCCATAACAGTCGATGGTCGCTCTCCCCCCGATATTCGGTATTTTGATGATTTTAGCGACATTATTTAAAGGAACTGTTCCAAATTTGGTATTTGAAGTTCGTAATAGATACTGCAGCATAAAACAGAAAATGGGCCATGTAAGTCGACGTCTTCGTATAGCCCCCATATACCGTACCCTCCGATATTCGGTATTTTGGTGATTTTAGCTACATTATAAATACATTTTTCTTCAAGTTTCGCATTGGTTATTTTAATAACTTCTGACAAAACTTGGCTATTCAGATCCACGTCATCGTATAGGCATTCGGTATTTTTAAGATTTTAACAAAATTTTAAACGGATTGTTTTTTTTTTTTTTTTTTTTTTTTTTTGGAAATTGCCAAATTTGTACCAAATGGTGAAGGGTATTAAAAGTTTGGCCCAGCCGAACTTACAGCTTTTTTACTTGTTTTAATTAGTCTCATATAGTAATTTGTTTCCCTTGGAAGACATTAAATGATGACCACCAGAGTTGTCGACATTATAGGCGCATTTGATGTGTTTTAGAAAAAGTATTAGCTTAGGTGACCCATTATATATTGTTCTAATTCTACTCCCTCCAGTTATAGACACATTGCCATATGAATATTTCACTCATTGATAAAACTTCGATGAATAGATTTTGATTGATTGTGGTCTACGATACCTTAAATTTATAATTTTATTCCTTTTTTTTATTTTTAGGTGAAATGATTATTGCTGGAGATCGTTATCTACTTACCGAGAAGGAGATCAACATGTATTCCATTGAAATGGTGCTGCATATCAGACGTCTACAGGCCAGTGATTTTGGTGGTTATAAATGTATATCGAAGAATAGTATTGGTGACACGGAGGGCACCATACGCTTATATGGTAAGAAAGAAATTTAGATTTTTTTAAATTATCACTTATAAAAATATATTTCACGGAAATTTATAAAGATGTTTCATATTATATAATCGGTTATTTTGACTGACTATATATAGCCTTCATTTTTCAAAAAAAAAAAAAAAAAACTTCCATTTTGGAAGATTTCGTTTTTTAAATAATGTCTAAACATAATACAATGGCCATCCAAAATGCTAGACTTCTTTCCTGTCCTTAACTCCCTTCTCCTATACAATTCCGCGTCGATTGCTTTTCAATTATGACATGTAGAGCGACTGTAAAATCAGGAAAACTTTAATTTTAATTTTGACCCAAGCCCTACCCCCATGCAAAATTTCTTTAGATAATTGCGACCTGTATACAGGGTGCGATGAGAAAATTGCAACCAACTTAAGACTGCTGTCATTTCTAGTCACTCGTCCGATAGTTTAAATTATTCCAGTGAGATTTCGTTATATTGTTTACAAGCCTACAAAAGCATTTTGGTGAGAATTTTCCAGAAAAAAAGTTATTCGTGATGGAATTCAAGCGTGATAGTGTGATTTCTTTAAATTTGGCTGGAAAACCACAAGTGGCTATCGTTAGAGAACTCATGAGAAAACATTCGTGTTTACTTGCCAAAGAGGTCAGCTAAAAATGTGCACGTTCGGTTGGCCACCAGAACTCAAGCGCCGGCCATGGTGATGGTGTGGCCGCCATAAATGCCGAATATTATCGCGAAAATATTCCGGAGGATGTATTAAAGCCTTGGGCACGCACTCATTTTGGCCGCAGACCTTGAACATTCCAAAACGACTCAGAACCATCGCACTCAGCACGCACCACCCAAGAATGGTTACAAAATGAAGTTCCTTGCTTAATTTCTAGCGCAAAACGACCACCAAAATCTCCGGATACCAATCCGTTGGACTATTGTGTCTGGAGTATTTTGGAAAAAAAGTTGGCACTAAAAAATACCAAATTGTCAATCACCTCAAACAAGCTTCGTCGGGAATGGGCCACAATACCGCAGAGCAACATTCGGGCAGCGTATGAGGGTTTTATTAGCCGTTTAAAGGCCATAATTCGTGCCAAAGGTAACCAATTCGAACAAATCTAAACTTATTCTAAAATTTGATGCTATTTCTGACATTTTTTGTTTTTATTCAATAAAATTTATAAAAAAAAAATCTAAAAGTTATTGCGTTTCACTTTGATGCAGTTTTTTTATCTCACCCTGTATATCCTATATCTTGGCTATCAACGGCACTGTCATGGTCAGAAGTGGCCTTTGAATGTATGTGTGATTTGGCAGGGATTAAAAAATTTCGAATTTTTTGACATAAAAGTTATACTTTATTCTACCCGCTAAATATTGACCGATGACCGTTCAAATTGATAGGCTTCTGCCCAGCCCTAAATTCTAACTTCATGCGAAACTCCGCGTCGATTGGTCTATAATTGTGGCCTGTAGAGCAACAGAAAATCAGGATTTTTTCTGTTTTTTGTTCATTTCAAACCCTAAACATTTTACGGTCATCACCCAAAACAATAGGCTTCTATTCTGACCTTAATCCCACCTCCATTTTCAGTTTCATGAGGATCGGCCCATAATTGCGCCCTGTAGAGTGATTACAAATTAACATAAACAAACGGACTGACATACATAACTCAGATCTGCGAGATATTACCCTATATCGGGGACCAATATTTCGAGGTTTTTTTTATTCTTGACCCAATCAAACTTATAATACCCCAACACACAGGGTATAATCATTTTCTAATATTCTATTATATCCTCATTACATCGAATTGAGTAAACTAATGTATCGTTAATTTTGTTTTACACTTTTTTATAGAAATGGAAAGGCCAGGAAAGAAAATCCTTCGAGAAGAAGATATGAACGAAGTAACGGTAAGTTTAATTTCACACATCAATATAATTTAATAAAAAATCCCAGTTTAATTTAATTTGACAATACCAATAATTCAAAATTTACCACCTTTTTCTTCAAATTCCAATTTCTTCTTCCATTCCCTACAGAAAAACGAAATTGTCCTCAAGGAGAATCGTCACGAGGACGGTGCACGAAATCAAAACGGCCGCCTGTACAAAGAACGCGGCAGCGATCTAACCCAGTACAATCATCACAATTCAGCACTGCCACAAATGCGGTCACCTTCGATGCCATTGATAATTGTATTAATTACACTAATACTCTTATTAGCGTCAACACGTACACTTAACGATATTGGCCATAATCAAATTGTCGATGACAGGCCTTGGCGACAACAGGCGGCAGCGGCGCCCTCATCCTCACTGTCGTCGTCATCATCGTCGTCGTCGTCGTCATCAATACAATTGGCGCAGTACATAAATGGATTATAGCTCAATTACAATGTAATTAATCATAATTAGTAAGCAAATATGCATGTACATATCTATATTAGACAACAACAACACTCACATAACCTAACCTTCTCTCCCTCTCGTCCACTCTCACTCCCTCTCTCTCTCTTTGTGTGTCATGTAGTTATAGTTGTTGTCATTGTTAGTGTTGTAAGTTGTAATTAACACAAAACTCAATTCACTTCAGTGACAATAACTGTGACTGGTATTTATTTCCTCGTTTCCTTCTTTTGGGAAACAATATCTCCCCCTAGCCATAATCTCCCACTCCATGTCCCCTCCCTACCTCTCGCTCTCTCCCTCTCTCTTTGATATCGACAAACTAACAATAATAACAGTCAATAATAACTAATGATAAACTAAATAAATTAAATACACAAAATAAATACGAAATATTATGAATAAATAACAGCAACAAGAAAAACATGAAATACAAAAAAAAACAGTGAAAAAATAACAACAAATGAAAACTACAATAGTAGATACCACCACCACCACAACCACGGACAACAACTAACTAAGGCCATCAATTATTTGCACGAATGCAAACATGATCTGGGTATATTGAATTGTGACTGCTCAGGAAGTGTTTTGAAAACTGTCATTTTGTAAACATTGAGAGCTGTATCGAGCCCTATTTGGTCATGAAAAAAGAATACGTTTTTTGGGAATTTTTTAAAATGTGAATTTCATATATTAGTTTAGCCGACATGCAACCATCTAGTATTACCCCATAAATAATTTTTATTTTTTTTTTTTTTTTGAAATTTTAAATTTACTTTAGAGTTTCGGTTTTAGGAGCATTGAAAAAATAAAGATAAACAAAGGCCAGGGTTTTATTGACTTAATACCCTAAACCTAATTTGAATTTACCCAACCAAGTTTTACTATTGTGCTAGTAATTCGTCTGGGGATTTTAAATAACTGGTCAAACTTATACGATAGTGGATTCTGAAGAAAATGGGTTCTGAATTGTTTTGTAGGATTTTCTATGATTGCAAAATTTTATTAGCTCTAATTACTTACCAAAGTATAAGTCGGTTTTGCCGACAGATGTATACCCTCAGCCGATGTTCGTTGACTTGCGCTATGATTATTCAAAATCTTTACCTTCGGAGGTTCCGAAGGAATGGACCAATATTGTCAATTCGTGTCGGAAATCAATAAATATGATAAAAAATATTGCAAGTTATCCTTTTCTGGCAAGAGACTATTCCGAAATTGTGAAAATTAGTTCAGCGGTTTTTGACTTATCATATATCTAACTAACATTCCCTTTTTTGATATATGCGATTGTATATATTTTGCTATATATGCGAGATTTTGTATATGAGCATCAATGTAACGGTCAGAAGTGACATTTTCGTGTATTTGTGATCTGGCCGGGATTAAAAATATTCGCGGTTTAGTGGAAAATTTCGTATTTTTTACAAAAAAGTTATGGTCTATTTTACCCGCTGAATGTGGTCCGAAGACCAACCAAATTTATTCGCTTCTGCCCAGTTCTAAACTCTAACTCCATGCAAAATTGGTTTAAAATTATGGCCTGTAGAGCAACTGCAAAATCAAGTATATTTTCTATATTTTCTTCAACAACTAAATATTTTGCGATCATCTCCAAAAACAATAGGGTTCTTTTCAGACCCGAAACCCACCTCCATTTTCAATTTCGTGAGAATCGGGCCAAAATGGCGACCTGTAGCTTGATTACAAATTAACATGAACAGACGGACGGACGGACATACTTAGCTAGATCGACTCAGTCCGGCGAGGTAGGAAGATCCATATATACTTTCCTATGTGGGTAACCAATATTTCGAGGTGTTACATAATTTTTGGCCCAATCAAACTTATAATACCACCAACACATTGTGTTGTAGGTATAAATATTGGTATCGGTAAATTACCAGAAAATCTAACATATATATCCATATTTTGCGAAATTATAGATTCCATATTCATCTTGGCTGGTTTCGCAAGTTATGACAGATAAAAGTATTCTAAATTGTGACCCTTTGTGGGTGAGTTAACAAAAGGAGTTCACTGATATATATTTTTCACCACAGATCTTGTTTCTATGTGGGATATTTTAAGAGAGTTGGATGCTTATTTCACTTTCTTTAAGCGTTTGGTTTTTTTTTTTTTTTGCAAAATCTTGAACCTAATGTGGGAAAGTTATCAGAAGAAATCGTCCAATCTCTACAATATCTTGTGCTGATGAAAATGTTGAGATTCACCAAGTCTGAATGAAATCGAATGTTAATTTCGCGTTTTATGAGCTTCATTGATATTCAACATTTTGACCCTTTGTGGGGGGAGGAGAAGACCGATATATTCCATCTTCACACCAGATCATGGGTTAATAAAAATATTTTGAGGTGTGTAATTTAAGTTATAATTATTCAAAATTTTGACCCTTTGTGGCGAAGGTACTTGATAGAGTCGACCGATTTTGTATATTTTTGCACCTGACCTAGCACTGATGAAAATATTATGATTTGTAAAGTTGGAGCAAAATCGGATTATCCTTTCTTTTTCTGTGCAGTAAATAATTTTCTTTGAAAGTTTTGATGTTTTGTGGCGGAGGTACCAGAAGGAGTGGAAGTTTGACAATAATATTACGATGTACCAAGTCTGGTCCAAATCGTATACTCTTTTTGAAAGTTATCGTTCGAACCTGCCAGACACACAGACGGACTTCCCTATATCAACTCTAAATGTACTAAAACGGATTTGGTCCAAAGAGACCTAGGGTCTGAAACCGTTATTTCGATAAGGCTCGTTTGAGTCGTATCAAATTATATTAACCTCTCTCTCCATATTGCTGAGGGTATAATTAGAAATATCACGAACAAGAAATGGGTTACTTTCTCCTTAGCTGTCTTTGAACTGTTATACGTATACAGGTCTTTAGACTTTTTATGTCTTCTGGGACCTACAGAAGAAATTTAGAACAACATACATTTTAAAAATGTTTTAGCTTGCCACGATCCCGCTTAAAAGGAACTTTTAACCACAGTATGACCAAAATTACCCCTCGGTGACTTGCAAATCTTAAAAATACCGAATGTAGCCGTATATTATGGTCTATACGATAAAGTGGACCTGCATAGGCAACTTTTGTCACAATATATTACAATATTCAAATGAGAAACTTGAAAAAAATCTGTTTATAATGTAGCTAAAATCATCAAAATACCGAATATTGGGAGGTACCATGGTGATTATAAAACGTGGACCTGCACAGACAATTTTCTGTCTTAGGATGTAGTATGCATTACGAACTTCAAATACCAAAATTGAAACAATTCCTGTAAATAATGTCGCTAGAATCACCAAAATACGAAGACGTGGACCTACATGGCCCATTTCAATGCAGACAAAATACACATTTGAGTAAAATGTTACAAACCTACTTCATTTCGTTCGGATGCTAGAGTGATTTCCACAGACGAACAGCAAGAAAATGAGGCATCATCTGTGGTTCTCTTTATAAAATAGCTTTCATGCTAAAATTCCTTATTCTATTTTTATGCTAACATCATCTCTCGTACTAAATATCATTGCTATAGAGCGTATGAGATGTAGTATATTTAACGGACCCATATGTGAATCGATTTTCACAAACTTTGAGATAAATACACAGTTGGTGTGCAGTGAACGATCCAAATCCGATCGAGTGTTCAAAAGTCATTATATTTGGACTGATAGTACACATTTGGTGAATAATAATCTTGACATCGGACGAATATATATACCGCCAATTTCAACAGGGCTCAGCCCGCGCCAAACAAAAAAATTGTGAAAAACGTCATCTCAATCGGACAATAAATGTGACCTGCATTTTGATTAAAAATATACATGGACAGATAGATGGAGATGCATAAATCGACTCAGAGTCCGATTCCATTAAGGTCATTAGAATAAACTATGAGTTTTTCTCCAATTTAATGTTTCAAACAAATGCACAAACACATAACATCACGTGCAATAGTGTGGCATAGGTTATAGAGTCTAACTAACTCCTTCAGCATCTTTTTTCTCCTGACAGTCATAATTCAGTGTCCAACGACGCATGAAGTGTAAATGACTTAATCAAGTGACAAATACAGTAATGGAGGAAATAAAATAATAACTAAACCATTAACAGATTATTTATAAAAATAATTAAATGATAAACACAGGCGATGAAATATTTATGAAACATTAAAAAAAGGCAGAGACACTAACATTTGTAATTATCATTTCAAAAAGGAAGACTATCGCAAATGTTTGAGTTGAAAACATCTTGAAATAAATTAAACGCCTTGTTAATTAATACATAATGAGCTATCTTGTTAGATTGATATTATAATTTATTTTTATTTTACAGAAATCTAAATTTATTAATGAAGACACTAAAGAGTTTTGAATTTTACATATATATTTTTTCCAATTTTAAAAGATATGTATATCACATCCGGTTGTTTTACATGGCGTATGCATTTGTTTCATTAGCATATTAAGTATACGCCCCATTGTACGCTATGCACAACTTCACTCATAAATTTTAAATTTTTTATATATTTTTTTTTTAAATTCGTAAAAATGATTTCAGATCTAGGCTGTAAAACTTTTATTCCCGCTCAATGGTTTAAACAAATTATTGACTTAAAGTCATAACTGAGTGAGATAAAAAAAACTGCAACAAAGTCAAACACCATATTTTTTAATTTTTTTTTTAAATTTTTTTGAATGAAAGCAAAAAATTTCGGGAATAGCATCAAATTTTAGAATAAGATGAGATTTGTTCAAATTGGTCACCTTTGACACGAATTATGGCCTTCAAACAGCCAATGAAAACGTCACACGGTGCCCGAATGTTGCTCTGCGGCATTTCTGTGCATTCCCGGTGAAGCGCTTGCTTGAGATGATCGACACTTTGGTATTTTTTAGTGCCAACCTTGCTTTACAAAATACTCCAAACTCAATAGTCCAAC